ATATATATATATTAACTTTTTTTTATTTTTCATTTCACGTTTTTGGGACATGTTTCTTTTAGCCTGTACACAATTTGGTAGAAGAAACTTATTTCGTAGTTCTGGGCCTGTGAATATACAAGAATACTACACTTCCGGTGGATTCTTAATAGATTTTTTTTTCTCCAGCTTTTTATTTTTTGCATTTATTGTTATGTTTATTTATTTATTATTTTTTTACCAATGGCACAGTTATTTAGGTATAAAAAGACATAGCTTTGAACTTCCGAACCACCGAGCATGGGACGAGTAGCGCCTTCTGACAACGCGTTTCTAACAATATCTACGCGACCTCTTATGCAGTGAAGAGCGACAGTAGCTGTACATATGCATAAATAATTTCAGGTTAAAATAAGCTCGACCATGCCCTCTTTTCCCGTATTGTTTTATTTAACAGCCCGAAATATTCGGGGGGGGGGGGGGGGGGGGGGGGGGAGAGAAAGGCTGGAGCCCCCCCCCCCCTTTCCCCCGTTTTTCTTCTTCCGACGCTACTGATATGGTAGAACGCTCCTCGACCTCAAGTTTTGTCAGCTTCTGTGCTTTTTGCTCGGCGGGTTTCTTCCGTCTCGGAAAATAAACCTCCAAAGCAATCACTAACTAATGAATTGTCAAGGTGCAGGCGAGCTGGTGTATGTTGATCGTAATGCAAAATCCCTTGCAGGCGAGCTGGTGTATGTTGATCATGATGCAAAATCCCGAGACTAGGAATAAAATTCGAAAGAAATAGTGTAAGAAGAATGAGAAAAGGGGGACAGGACAAACGTCTCAAACTCAGCTGAGTTGAGTTTGAGACGCTGTCCTGAGCCGAGTTTTCAGCTGAGTTGAGTTTGAGACGTTGTCGTGAGCTGGGTTTGAGACCTTGTCCTGTCCCCTTTTTTCTGTCTTCTTACACTTTTTCTTTCAAATTTCATTCCCAGTATCAGGATTTTGCATCATGTACAAACTAAACTTACTATATGCCAGCATCACTCGGGCGGCGTTCGAGCGGATTACTGCCAGCGTGCGAGGGGGGGGGGGGGGGGGGGGGGGGGGGGGGGGATGGCTGGGAGGCAGTTTGTTAGATCGCTTCGAGGTTTTTCTGAGCCTCAACCACCTGCCTGCCCCTGGCCGTTTAGAACTGGATGAGTATTATTATACAGTGCGTTCGTGTGATCACTACTGCGTGATGCACGTTAACCCCCCCCCCCCCCGCCCCCCCCCCCCCCCCCCTGCGGACTGGTGGTCACAATTACTGGTCTGCACATGCCACTCTGCACTGGCAAATAATCCAGCACATCCGGGACACTCGTCGTCCCATTTAATTGCCTGACCAACTTCGCGCAGTCTAAATATCACACCCGAACATTTCTAAACCTGATTTCGTGAAAACCAGTGAGGCGTGAAAACGTTTAGCGCCGTTCACACTCTTGGGACCGAGTAAGACCGAGAGAGACCAGACCGTTTTTTAAGCCTTTGGCGACTTCTTATAGGATTGGATGCGCTGCAGCGGAGCTGGGCCTAAGAGATCGCAAGAGGGTTAAAAACCGGTCTGGTCTCTCTCGGTCTTACCAGGTCGTAAGAGTGTGAACGGGCCTTTATTTGAAACTGAAACTGTGGCGGAACATGAAAACCGGACTTCGAACTTTGCTCACTTGGACTTGAAAGAAATTCGAAACCTAAGTTTTTTTTCGTTATTGTTTCGAATTTAGCTCTAAAAGAGAATCGAAACCTTCGAACTTTTCGACCTTTATGTAGAAAGAAATTCGAAATCTTCTAATTGATCGAACTTCATGTCTATAAAAATTCGAAACGTTCGAATTTCTCGAATTTCAAATCCAAAGAAATTCGAAACATTCGAACCTCTCGATTTCAAGTTAGGGAAAGTTCGAAATCTTCAAATTTCTCGAACCTCAAGTAAAAAAATATTCGAAATAATCGAACCCGAAGTTTTAGAAAGCGTGAAAGCTTCGAACTTTTCGAATTCGAAACTCCACGATTTTTGAAAGTTGCGAGTTTTTTTAATTTGAATCTTCGTACGGTCAAAAATATCGAAACCTTTCGAATTCGAACATCAGTTCGGTTTCGAAAATATCGAACCTTTCGAAATCGAACTTCGGGTGGTTCGCGGCATCCCTAGTATTAAGCGCGATCCAAACCAACGCTTCTTTTTGCGGCTGTAGGTCGTGCGCGCCCCGGATGTGACGTATTTCGTGACGTCACGCCAGTTCTTCGCTCCTTCCGGGCGCGTACAAAAAAGTTGGTTAATTTCAACTTCTTTCTCAACGCGCACAAAAACGCGCGGTGACGTAGTAGGGCGCTCCTGTGTCCCGGCCAATCGGTGGAGGGCAAGCTAGTTCCGGCTCCGCGTTTCTTCGCCGTCTGGCCGGCCAGTCTGTCGCAGTTGCACTTTGCTTGCTTGCGACTATGGCTGCATCTTAGTGTTGTACGGAACGGCGTTCCAAGGAACGGCGTTCTTGGA